AGTATTGGCCTTCCGTTCCAAGCATCAGTTTAAGCTGTCCGGATCGTCAACCAATCCATTTCTCCGGGCACATCTTTGTCACTTAAGGAAGCTTGGCGTAGCTGCAACGGGCTCGTCTGGGATAACTCCTGACCGGGCGTGTGGGGGATTGTTGCAAAAGGAGGGTTACTTTCGGAGCCTGCAGGAGATGGAAGTGGTGGGTTCGGGTACTGTGGGGTAGGGGAGGGTGGGTTCGGGTACTGTGGGGTAGGGGAGGGTGGGTTCGGGTACTGTGGGGTAGGGGGCCTGGCAGTCGAGCAACACTGCGCCCGTGCAGACTGCGGCGGCAGCCTTCGAGCCCGGCGCGTTCTGCGTCAGCCAGAGCGGGTCCAGCGCGCACGCCGCCGCCTGAGGCAGCGGCGGCCGGGCAGGGATTGGACCGGCAACAGCAGTCGCCTCTCCAGTGGGTGACTTCCTGCCCCACCAGGGCATCTCTCCCGCGGGCAACACCCTCCTCTCGGGACGTCCCGGCGTGACGCCCTCCCTCGCGCCTGTAGCAGCCACGCCGAGCGGAGACCGCGCCGCGCCTCGGCCGGCCACGCCTCCTCCCCCTCGCTGTCGTCCGAGTCGGCCGCGCCGTCCGACACCTCGACCCTGTGGGCGACGGGCGCTTTGCCGAACTCGTGCTGCTGTTTGAGCGCGTGCCAGGTGAGGTGGCGCAGCAGCCGGTGGTCCACGCGGAGCGGCGTCCACCCGCCGTCGTAGTAGGCGCGCCACAGCCCGCGGAACTCGCTAAACGGCGGGTGGTCGCCGGGCCGCAGGCCAAGCCCCGATGGGTCGACGTCGACGCCAAAGTGCAGCCGGAGGCGACGCTGCCAGTTGGACAGGCTGGCCGCCTAGGCACGCGTCGGTAGACGCTGAGGGTTGCGGCTTGTGGAAAGAGTGCTCAGTTTGTGCGGGATCGCCTCTCGCATCGACCGGGACGCCGCGGCGGCGTGAGCCCAGTCGCTCGGCTCGTCCACGAAGGAGAGCACGAGCTGCAGCATGTCGTCATCGATAGAATCGAGGTGTAGCGAGCAGCCCTCCGAGCGCGCGGCGCACGCCGGTATTAACATGCTGCTTAAGCTCTACTCGCAGCTGCGTCACGGCCAGGTACAAGAAGCCGCCCTGATGGAACCCGTCCGCCGCCGAATCCGTCCACCCTTTCTTTTTTCTTGATTTCTCGGCGAGCATGGCAGTTCTTCACCTTTCTACCTACCTACCTACCTCGGCGAAACCCCTCTCCCTGTTACCTCTTACCCCAACAACCAACAACAACACCACCGTTCATCATGAGCGTACGAAGTGCGTGTCCCTCCGCGCATCCTCTCCCGCATAATAACTCGCCGGGCCGGCCATCAGCTTCGTGAAGAGCTGCGGGTCCGTCTCTGCCCACCTCGAGATGGTGGCGGCTGCCGGGCCGGTCACGCCGAGACGCGCCAGGGCGGCGGTGGCGCGGCGCCAGTCGCCATCGCCGCCGCCAGCCCCCATCTCTCCCCTCCCCGGGCAGGACTCATTCAAAGGGGCTGTCAGCCAGTCAGCCTTTTTGTGGTTGCCCCGCCACCTGCCCGTGTCGCCGAGGTGGTGGACGTAAGTGACCAGGCGGTGTCGGTTTTCCCGGCGGAACTGGCCGCCAAAGATCTTGTCGCTCGCTCCCGCGGTCCGGTAGTTGGACGGGTAGACGGGGCTCGTTCGATTGGCCATGTAGAGCTGGAAAAAGCCAAGATTGGTCACAAGCTACGAGGGACGGCGCCTGGTGGTGTGGTCTGGGATGTGTCATGGCGAGTCGGACAATCTCGCGACTAGAGGCCTCACCCCACTGCCGGTCTGCGTGTCGGCGTGGTACTTCCCTGCGATCGCGTCCGCCGGCGTGCGGTACACGCAACGGTTGACGATTCCCAGCAGCTCGCGGTCAGACGTGGGGAGGTGGTGGTAGATGGTTGACCACACCTTTGGAATGGGGCGTGAGCAAAAGGTGCTGACGCCCGGTGCCCTAAATGCGGGTGTGCAGTAAGCAGCACACCTTTGCCGGGACACAGATGTCTGCGTCCAGCAGCAGCACATGCCCTCCGATGACCTTTAGGTCGGCATGCAACCTGCGCTGTACCTTGCGTGGACAGAAACAGGGGATTATTGCGATTGTGGGCCTTGATGACAGTTCCGAGCGTCACGACCGCTCACCTCCTGGAGTGCCCGACCCTTGTTGAACGGGTCGCCATTCAGGTGCAGAGCCTCCGTGACATGGCACCGCGTGAGGCGAGACTGGGAGCAAACGCGCTGCGTTTCTCTGTCCATCGGGCTCGTGATGACTATCGTGTGGTTGACAAAGCCGCGGCTGCACTGTAGACTGACGGCGAGCGTGTCGCTCTGGTTCTCGCTGACGGTGACGCGCACCAAATGCACTGGAGTCGGCGTGGGGGAGAGAGCTGGGCGCGTGCGTCCCCGTACGCGGTGTGCCTCGAGAACAAGCAACGCGAGCACGGCCCTGCGCAGCATCTGTAGGGGAGTAATGCCTTTTGACCTTTGAATAGTTGCGTTGGGGAGCGGAGAGGACGCGCGCAGACGAATCACCGACGACCTCATGCGACATGCCCGCCGATTTCTTAACGAAATGGGTCCCCAAGGAGAAGCTCAAGCGCAGCGTCGACCACGCCTCCAACGCGCGAGCTCGCGCGGTGCATTGGGGGAACTGATCAATGCCGCCTCTGCGGGCCGAGCCCGCCCAGCGACATTGGGGGGGGTGCGGTAGGTAGACATTCTACCTCCCATCCAACCCACCGAAACCCGTGTGAATGGATCGTCCGTTACATTGGGTTTAGCGTCGCGTTCTCTCAGCGTGGTCTATGGTTTGCTAGACCCATGAGACCAGCCACGCCGCGCCCTGGGTGAAATTCTCAAAAAGGTGCAGCACTTCTAGCCGACATCGACAAAAGTCCCTCTCTAGCCCCGCGGCGAGCGGCCCCGCCGGAGGCGAAGAAAATTTCGCCATCTAGCGCTCGCAACACATAGATTTGTGCATAAATCAACACCTCCAATCTTCGGGGGAGTGACGGATAAAGGCGTGCGAAAGAGCTAATGAATCCGAAAGCAGCGAATCCAAGTGATGGCCCGCCGCAGGCGAAGAAAATTTAGGGTTGGGGTTCCCCTATGCCAAAGAACTCTTATTAGAGGATTTCGGCGGCCGGCGCGCCGAGGCACAGCGGTTCGCGCTGCCTGCTCGCGCTGGTTACACCGTTGCTGTGGCCGTCTTCGTCCGTATTGTACACCGAGCTGGCGCCACAGCAGAGTACAACAACGGCTCGGACTAGCTGCTCCACGGTACTACATCATCAGAGGGCCCGGCAAGGTCCACGGCGGAGCTGGCGGTGGTGGGAGTGGTGGTAGGAACGAAGGCGCACCTGTCGGCGATTCACCGCCGTTCGTTCCCGTCTCTCAAAGCTGGTTACACCGTCGATGCGCACATCGAGGCGCTCGTGGACGAGAGAGACGTCGCCTCCTCTTTCGTCCCGGGGCACTGTTCACGCCGGAAGGCCCCGTACACTGCCAAGTACATTAGCCTTCATCTCTCCTACCGCCGGCCGGGAGTGCAGCCGCCACCAGTGAGATTGTCCTCGACGTTGGCACCTGCGAAGTAATGAACAACAGGCAGTGCGTCATATGGCGCTATGATAGCCCTGCGGTGGACGTCCTCGACGCAGACGAGGCGGAGCTCATCTGCGCGGCGCAGATCGCCGACTGTCTCTCCCTCCCTGCGCGAGTGGTTGCACCACCCTGGATGAGGCATCTGGGCTGGGGCAGGGCCGTTAGTAGAGGAGGGCGACTGAGGGCGCGAGGCCGCCAATCGTCAAAGTCTGCTGCGACTGACTGTCGGTCACTGACTGAGCAATGAGCAATCGCATCGGCGGTTTCACTCACGCTCACAATCGGGTTACATCCAGGTCTCTGTGCGGGATGTGCTGGGGGGCTGCCCCCCAGTCGATTGCCGCATAGTTCGTCGATGTAACCCTACCAGAAAGCTGTATTCACACCTACCCTTCCAAAAAAAGAAATGTCCCTGCTTTTGTCGAAGATCCGGCGGGTTTATCGGAGCATCACCCCCCTCGGGCGCCTCCAGCCCTCCACCGCCGCCCTCAGCCACGCCGCGCTAGGACCGACGGAGACGTCAACTCCGCCGTCACATTGACAAGTCTTTGAGACGTTTCAGGGGTTGGGGTTTTTTTGTAACTCGTCATGCCATGGATGATCGACACTGACACCACTCTGCCGGGTGCGCACAATACACGGCTCTACGAAAGTCGCCACATCTCAACCCCAATGCGCGCTGCACATCCTCTGCGCGTTCATGCGAACACCCCCGCCTCCCTCCGGCTCGCTCAGAGACATGGCGCAAGAAGCGGCCCAAGAGCTCCGCTCGGCCGCGGCGATGGCCCACTGTACCCACGAATAGCCTCCATCAGGCAGCACAGCACAGCTCCTCCCCAGTTCGAGGACGACGGAGCCGGTCAGGGCTTTACTATCTTTGACGCGCCACCCACCGCCGCTCCAGGGAGCACCTGAGGTAGTGTCGGGGGGCGGGCCAGGTCAAACGGAGCAGCGAAGCAGGGGGGTGATGCGCGAGAGAGCGATGCGCGAACGGCGGTAGGGGAGAGGTCGCACCGAGCCGCTGCTCGATGCCGCCTTCGCTGCTGCCTTGGCCTTGGACTCGGCCGACTTGAGCACCTTGGCCGCCTCGCCCTCCGCCTTTTTGCTGAGCGCCGTCGCCTGCTTTTCCGCCTCGGCCGTCACCTTGGCCGCCTTGGCCGCCGCGTCCGCCTCGATCTTGGCTGCCTGCTCGCCCGCCTTTGCGGCGCTCGCCTCGGCCTTCTCTAGATCGCCCGCAGTCTGTGCCGCCAGGACGGAGGCGTTCAGCGGAAGGAGTGGGTGGGTGAGGGCGGCGAGAGGGGCGGCGAGAGGCTGGTATGTCGGCGGCGAGATGGCGGCGAGGGCGGCGGTGGGTTGACCGGCGCGGGGGGGGGGGGGGAGCGGTGCGGCGCGCCTTGTCGACTGCCTTTGCCGCCTTGTCCGCCTTCTTGGTGGCCCTCGCCGCGTCGTCCTTGAGGCGCTTGACCTACGGGGGCACGCGGCGGACCTGTCTTGGACCTGTCCAGGGCACATCCTTGGATCTCGCCCTGGCGCAGGGCACCTCGTCCTTCAGCTCGCCTCGCGTGCCAAAGTTGAGGAAGAATGTCTTGTCGTACTCGGCCTGGGGCGCGGTGTGGGGTGGGGGGGAGGGGCGAGGTGTGGGGTGGGGGGTGAGATCTTGTCGGACGCACGAGCACAACACCGGCTGCGATCTCGGCGGGCGGATCGGCGGACGCGCGGCGTCTGCCGTGGGAAGAGCGGGGGCGCAGAGGAGGGGCGGGGTGGCGCGGCAAACGGCGCCTGCGTCGCGGCGCCGCGCTGCTCGAGCGACGCGATCTCCGACCGCAAGCTGCTCAGCTCCGACTTTGCACCGCTCGCCTCGCGCCGCGCGGCAGACGCGACGCCCTCGGCCTGCGACCGGATCGCAGACGCCTGCGGCCGCGATGCGCACCGGGGACGGGCTGAGCACACCCGTCCCGACGAGTCTCCTCGGCCGAAGCTCGTGGGGAGGGGGCGCCACCTTGCTGGCCGCCTCCGAGGTCAGCGCGCCCGCCTCGGCCTTGGCCGCCGAGGTGAGCTGCCGGCCGGCGGCGGAGGCGTCGGCGACAACCTGCTCCGACTCGGCCTTTGCGGACGCGAGAATGCGCTGCACCTCCTCCGACGCGCCGTCGCCGCTCGCCGCAGCCGCCGCCCGCAGCTCCTCCTCGCGCGCCGCCCGCTGCTTCGCCGCCGCAGCCTTGGCCTCCTCTGCCGCCTTTGCCTGCGGGGCGGGGCGCGAGGGAAGGCCGAGGTGAGGAGATGGGGGAGGCGAGACGTCGCCCTCGGCGGCCGCCGCCTTGTCCGCCGCCGCCCGCTGCGCAGCCGCGTCCTTCACCGCCTTTGCCTCCTCCGCCTCCTTCGCCTTTGCTTTGACGGCGGCCGCCTTGGCCGCCGCGTCGTCGGCCGCCTTGTCGGCCGCTGGCGGCGGCTTCATCTCTGGCGCGTCGGGCAGCTTGAGGTCGGGCATGGCGGGCATCGAAAAGGAGGGCACCTTGAAGTCCGTGCTGGGCATCGCAGGGACCTTCAGGTCCGGCACCTTGAAGTCCGTGCTGGGCATCGCAGGGACCTTCAGGTCCGGCACCTTGAAGTCCGTGCTGGGCATCGCAGGGACCTTCAGGTCCGGCACCTTGAAGTCCGGCACTTTAAAGTCCGTGCTCGGCATCGCAGGGACCTTGAAATCGGGCACCTTGAAGTCCGTGCTGGGCATGCTGAACGAGGGCGCCGCCGGCGTGGCGGGGGCGGCTGCCGGCGCCTTCTGGCTCATCGGCGTCTGCTTCTCGGGAGGCGACGCCTTGCGCAGCTGCTGCTCCTGCCGGAATTTCTCATCGGCTGCTCGCTCGGCGGCCTCGCGCTCGGCTCGCAGAGCCGCGACGCGCGCCGCCTCGCCGCTTCCCGTCTCCACCTTGCTCCTTTCCTCCAGAAGCGATCCCAGGTCGAGCGATTTTCCGTCTGCCGTCTTGAGCGCCGGCGCCGCAGCGTCCGTCTGCGCCCGCATCTTGGCCTGCTCCTCGGGATCCTTGGCCACCTCGTTCTGCAGCTGGCCATAGTCGCGAACCTTGTAACCCGTAAACTCTTTGCCGCCGGGGATGAGCCCAGCAATCAGCTCGCCGCTGAGCTGGATCGGGAGGTGCGACGTCGACACCTCTGCAGGAAATACGTTGGCCGCAGCTGCGGTGGTGTAGGATCCGGTCGGATGACTGACTGCTGCATAGCGCACGAAGGCTGAAGGCGGAGCGTTCACAGGCAGCGTGTTCGTCTGCACGGGCAGCAGGCCCAGCGCCGAGCTGAAGATTGAGCTCGCCATTGCCGAAGCAGCAATTGCCCTGGAGACCTCGCGGCGGCCTGGGCGAACGACCGAACCATGCAGCGAACCAAGGGGATGCGTCCAGAGCGAACTCCGAAACGGAACGAACCGCGAGTTCACCGAACCAGTTCATGAACCAGTTCGCCAGTTCGCCCGCGAACGTCAAAGGCTGTGTCGCGGCTGTGGAGCATGCTGCTCTTGATGTCCCTGGCTGCCTCTCTCTCTGCTCTCCGCCTGCGCGATGCGACTCTACCTCTAGAGAGTCGCGCTGGCCTATACATGTATAGTTACTAGTCTTTCGAGGAAGAACGTGTTCTCATTTTGAGAGAGAAGAGTCAAGAGAGGAGAGAGCGTGGTAGAGATTGGTGTGTTGTGACCTTTCGATACACGATAGGTCAGGATCCACCGGAGCTGTTGGTTGGTTCAATTCAGTTCTTTCTTTTCTTTGCCACGCACAGAGGCTAACAAAACCCTGTCTGCACGTCTCGCGCGCGCGTGAACAGGGCAACTACAGTCTGCAGGGGCGTAGCGCGAGATGACTGCTGATGTGATTGCAAAAAGAATTTACTTCGTAGCGTGCCGTTGTCATCTCCGCCGAGTGCGTATCCTATGCGAGAGAGATCCCCTGTGCCCTGTGCCCAGCCCCTGAGGGAGGGTGTAGAGGATGTAGAGTGTAGAGCACTGTAGAGCTGTAGAGATGTAGAGCGCTGTAGAGCGCTGTAGAGCTGTAGAGCTCTACATCCGCCGCGTGACGAGGCGGGTGCGTTGTAGAGCGATGTAGAGGCGCTCTACAACGTGAAATCTCTACAACAAACTCTACATCAAAAGCGGCGAACGAGGCACGGTCGCTCTCCGACATGAGGCGCGTTGCACTTGCCAGTGCTGCCCTGGCCTTCTGTCTGCCCGCCCAATGGGTGGCAGGTGCCTCTGCTGCTGTGGCATGCCTCACGGCTGCGACTGGCCGGCGCCTCGGCGCGTCAGCTCGGCTCGGCGTAGCGATAGTGGCCAGCGCAACTCGCCTGGACTCAACGCTCAGCCAGGAGCTCCCGCACGCGCTGGCGCGAGGCATAGCGCATGCAACGCGCAGCAATGCTCGCCTCGCCTCGCGCAAATGCGACCGTCCTTGCAGCCGACAGTCCACCGCCTGCTACAGAAGCACTGCGACGAATGCGGCACCGGCGACGCATGGCAGGCTGGTCATGACGCAGTTATAGGGTGTTGTGTGCCGTCAGAGTGACTCTCTGTGTGTCAGGGATAGTCAGGGCCGTCCATCAGAGCTCCAGTAAGCTCGGAGACACCCCATTAGTGCGACTCGACCTCTTTGAGTCACTGCCTTCCCGGCGGTTTGGCTGTAGAGCCTCTACAACAAACTCTACAACAAAATCGCGCTCTACATCGCTCTACAACGCACCCGCCTCGTCACGCGGCGGATGTAGAGCTCTACAGCTCTACAGCGCTCTACATCTCTACAGCTCTACAGCGCTCTACACTCTACATCCTCTACACCCTCCCTCAGCCCAGCCCTCTCCGCGCCGAGATGCGCCCTCCCCCCTCGCTGACGTGTCTGTCACTCTGTCTTCGACCCAGCCCTGCTTGGGATGTCCGTGTTATTTATAAATAAACATCAGTTTGCATGGGCTCCAGGCCCCAAATGACGTGTGAGTGTTAGAGTTGTTTGGTGTTGAAAATCTCTCTCAGAGGCTATGTCTCTTGTTTTGCCAACAACATCCAAAACAGATTTCCCAAATCACCAAAAAGAATTTCACACGGTAATAATTGCATCGTTGGACACAGAGGCTATGTCTCTTTTTTGCCGACACATCCCGCGCCACAAGGACCCCAGGAATTGCGACTCGCCGCTTTCCTCCCGCTGTGATTCTGTGTGAGCTCTGTGTCTTGATTTGCCAACAATATACCTACACGCAAAACAGCATCCCCAAAACACCAAAAAGAATTGCGGTTGCCAAAGAATTTCACCCTCGCGGAATTGCTTCGTCGGACGTACGAGTTACGGGCGTAGGACGCTGCGCGATAGATCAACTCATCCGGGAATGGCGAACCTCCAAAGCCTCCTCTTCGTCGCCCTCTTCTTTGCCTCCGGCGTTGCGGTCTACGGCGCGTGCGAGGGCTGGTCACCGCTCTCCGCCTGCTACTTCATGGTGATCACGTCCACCACCGTCGGGTATGGTGATATGGCACCCGCCAGCCCCGCTGGCCGCCTGTACACATGCGCCTCCGCGCTCCTCGGCACCACGGTGATATTCAACGCCCTGCAGCCGGCCGTCGAGGCCGCCCTCACGCGTCTGCGCGCGGCGCTGGTGCCAGCGGTGGCTCTCAACATTGACACAGCCGACCCGCGGCTCTCACTCCGTGAGGTGAATCGGCGGATCAGCTACGGTCGGCGCCACCTGCGGGCCGCTCTCGGGCCGTTGCTGATCTTTGTCGTGGGGGTCGCCAACGCCCTGCTCTTTCTCGGGCTCGGCGCCATCGACGCCGTGTACTATGCCGTCGTGACGATGACAACGATTGGGTACGGCGACATCGCCCCTCCTCCCACGCCACTCGCCAAGCTCGCCGCTATCGTCTGGATCCCGCTGGCCGTCGTGGCGCTGGCGGATGGGGTGAATGAGTGGCTCGCGATCCGCACGCGAAAGCGCATAAGGGAACACTGCGACGCGGACGACACGGCGACCGATGACGATGGAAAGCCGATTGGGGAGGCGGAGTTCCTACGGCGCGTGCTGCACCGCGAGGGGCTCGTGGACGACGACACGCTGGCCTCGATCGCCCGAAAGTTCGCTGCGGTGAAGAAGGAGCAATGAAAGGAAGAGAGGAGAGGGTAGAGAGTCTCTGTAGCAAGATGGACAGTAGCGAATCCAGTAGCGTTCAATTCTCAATGTTTTTTCATTGAGTACAAGCTACAGCCGACTACGGCGCTCATGCTTAGAGAATATACAGTTGTCATGGCGCAGAGGCGAGGACGCCGAGGACGACGACGACGACTGGGCTGGCCGGGCTGGCGAGGACGAAGACGCGGCGCGAAAAGGCGGCGAAGGCGGCGAAGGGAGGCGGCGATGACGAGGAGACAGCAGTGAGAGACACCTCTGCACCCGCTTGACCGCTGCATGGCGCAAGCCACTCGTAAGAAGCAAGAGCCGTGACCCAAGCAGGTGGCTCGGGACGAGTGAAGTGTGATATGCGCGGAGTACGAGAGGTGGCCCCAGAGACGCTCGAGAGAGCGATAGGCTCAAGCCTCGCGAGGCTAGCTCGAGGTCTCGCTCCCGACTATCTCATTGTTTTGACTCTAGTTCTCGCTTCTCGGCGCTCTGGCACAGAGCTAGGTCAGCGCCCCGGCAAGCCGTAAAGGGTGTGGAAGCTGGGTTGACGGAAAATGAGGGACGCGACCCACTTCGCCACAGACGGTCCCGCGCCTCGCCGCTATGACGGCCACACGGCCGCAGCTCGTGTGCGTGTGGCCGTCTTTGTCCGGAGTGAATACTCCAACGCCTCGTCGGTGACGGTGTCCCTCAACCTGCGCCGCGCTCGGCGAACCTCGACAGCGCTTTCGGTGGCATGCAGCTCTTTGCGCCTGAAGCCTGGAGAGCAGCTCCTCTGCTGCTCACACACTCTGCACAGTTGACACAGCCTACTGTGCGGCTGCCACAGCTGTGACAGCGATGGGCTCGCCCTCACTGGCCCTCAGTCACTTGTGCTGCGGCTTGTGTGAGCGACACTGCTCGGCGACTGCCGGCACACTGTGAGACCATGGGTGTGAGGTTAAACCACGCTACCAGCGCTTGGTCACATGGGCCCCGAGGTCAGGTCCATCTACTCTGTTGATGACAAGACTTGTCTACCGGCTGGAGCCGAGCAGGAGGGCCCAGCGCACAACCCCTTGGTCAACTCACCCTCCACACCCCGTATTTCCACACCGGCGTGCACGGTGTTCAGTGCGCTGGCCGCTGGCGCGTGGCGGTGCGGGTAGCGGTAAGCGGTATGGCCATAGAATTAAGAAGCAAGAGCGGTTCGAACGGTGTGAAAAATGCTGCGACACAATCATAGACAGGGTACCTTACGTTACTACACGGCAGTCTCTACGGCTCTGTTCGTTCGAGCTTCCCGGAGCTACACGCTCTGGCTCCGCCGGACGGGAAAGCGCGAGCTACTCGGCATGGGCAATGCTGTGGCGCAGCTTGCGCAGCCAGCGCGCGTGCGACTGCATGAGCGACTGAACGCGCTCGCGCTGGCCGAGCCACGCGGCGGCGCCGGCGGTGTTGACTGCTGCCCGCGGCTGCGCCGCCGGCAGCCTCAGGCCCTCTCTGCCAAAGTCGACAAAATGCTGCTCGTGGTGCTGGCGCCTACAGCGGACGGCGCCCCTCGCGCTGAGGACACGCCTCGCGGGTGGCGGCGGCGGCGGCTCGAGAGGCGGCGGCACAGGAGCTGGCTTGATAGGTGGGCCGGCAGCGGCGCGGGCGGCGCAAACGGCCCACCGAAAACAGAGGGGGCGTTTGGCGCGGCGACGAGGCTCGTCAGCTCTGCGGCGATGCGGGCGAGCTCCTCGTGCAGCTCCTCCTCCCGGCGGCCGCCGCCTCCCCACTTGCCCCCGAGCCCGGCAGAGGCGGGCCGCCTAGGGACATGTCTCGGACATGTCACGGACATGTCTCGGACATGACGCCCCCGAGCGCGGCAGAGGCGGGCCGCCGGCGGGGGGCACTCCTCTTGCCGCCGGCCGACTGCTCGTCCGACTCCTCCGAGAGCTCGAGCATCTGGCGGTACGACCTGTTCACAGCTGCAGGTGTGAACAGCGTCTCTTCACACGAGAGCTCGAGCATCTGGCGGTACGACCCGTCCAGCTCCGCGAGCGACGCCTCCCACTCGCGCACCTACTCGGCACCGACCCTCGGCTGACCTCGGCTGGCCCTCGCCCTCCCCTCCCTGGCGGCGAGTCTCGCATCGCGCACCCACGCCGCCTGCTGCCGCACGTGCGCAGTCTCCTCGTTGAGCTGCTCGGCTTGCCGCTGCAGCGAGGCGCGCACCTGCACCGAGCAGGGCGGGGCAGGGCAGGCGTGGGGTATGGCGTGGGGTATGGCGGGGCGCGTGAGGGGCTGAGGGGGAGCAGCGCCAGCTGCAGAGCCTCTCGACGCTGCCTCGCCAAGTCTCTAGCAGCCAGACTCTGGCAGGCCTGGGGGAGCACGCGTGGCGAGGGTGCGGAAGTGGAAGGGTCTCGGAAGTGGCTACCTGCCGCATCAGCCGCCGCAGCGCGTCGCGCTGTGCGCCCTGCGGCAGCTCGCCGATCTTGTGCATGTCCGCCCGCCACTCGCGCTGTGCCTCTACCACGCGCCTCTGCCGCTCCTTGATGGAGCGCGCCTGCTCGTTCAGGTGCGACCGCACCTGCGCAGAAGAAGGCGGAGGCGGGGGTGAGGGAGAGGAGAGGAGAGAAAGAGGGAGAGGGAGGGGGGGGATGGGGATGGGGATGGGGAGAGGGAGAGAGGGAGAGATGGAGAGAGGCGGAGAGAGGCGGAGAGAGAGAGGGGCAGAGCGCGCACGCCAAAGCATGTTCAAGCGGCGGTCTATGACGTGGCGTGACCCGTGGGGGTGCCTCGGAGAGTCTCTCGGGCTCTCCCGCGCCTGCTGCAGCCGCGACCGCTCCGACAGCACCGTCGCACGCTGCGCGCGCAGCAAGCTCGTCACCTTGCCTTGCGCCTCCTCCTCCGCGTCGGCGGCGCTGCGGTTCTCCTTGTCGCCCTCAGCCGCAGTCGCCTCGATCGGCTTTCCGGCGAGGTCGGCCAGCGACCGCACAACCACGCCCGAGCTGCCCGTGCTGGCAGCCGCGGCTGCCACGGCTGCGACGTCGGCATCCGCACCGGCGGCCGTGCGCGAGGAGACGGCAAGCAGCGCGCCTTCGAGGAGCGCCTCGGCGGCCGCGGTGGCGCGAGACGTCGCCAGCTCCGCCGCCCCGCGCAACTCGTCCGCCTCGGCCTGCGCCGCCGCTCGCAACCGCGCCGCCTCGCTCTCCGCTGAGGCCCGCGCCGCCTCCGCCGCCGCCGCGGCGGCGGCCGTGTCCGGAGCGGGCGCCGCACTTGCGCTCGCACTCGCGCGCTCCGCCTCCGCCTCTGCCTCTGCTCGAAGCGCCGCAGCGTCGGCCCGCATCTGCAGCGCCTGAGGGACGGGTGCAGAACACGTCGTGGACGTGTCCCAAGGCTCGCGCCCAAGCTCCACAGCGCGTCTGTGGCGCCTCGGCTCGCAACCCCTCCGCCTCAGCTCGCACGCGGCTCGCCTCCGCCTCCGCCGCCCGCATCGACGCCTCCGCCGCGCGCTCCGTCGCTGCCGCCGCGGCCGCCGCAGCGTCGGCCGCCTCCTCGTCTCGATGCGCCCGCGCCGCCGCCGCCTCTGCGACGCGCGACTCCTCGGCGGCGCGCGCGCGCACCCTCTCGGCGGCGGCCTCGGCGGTGGCCGCCGAGGCGCGCTGCTCGGCGCTCGCGAGCTCCTGCTGCAGCCGGCGGATCTCCTGCAAGAGGAGCGCGCGGGGGGGGGGGGGGGGGGGGGGCCCCCCTTGGTGTCCGGGGGTTTTTTTTGGGGGGGGGGGGGGGGAAAAAAAAAGTTTTGGGGCAAGGCAACCCCCCCCCCCCCCCCGGGGAAAAGGGGCCCCCGGGCTCCCCCCTGGGGGTTCAGGCCCCCCCCCCTTTTTCCCCCTTCGGCCTTCCCCCCCTGGGGGCCGCCCTGGGGGGGGGGGTAAATTAAAAAACCCCCCCCCGCCCTGAAAAAAAAAATTGCCCCCCCCCCCGGAAACGAACCCTTTCAAATTTTGGAGGGGGCGAAGCCCCCCCCCTTTTTTTTTCAAAAAACGCCGCCCCCCCCCCCGGGGGGGTTTTCCCCTGGGCCCAAAACAAATCCCCCCCTTTTGTGGGGGCCCCCCTCCTTTGGGGCCCCCCCCCCCTCCCCCGGCGGGGGGGGGAAAGGATTCCGCTTCTGGCTTGGCACTTCGCGGAAACCCCCCCCGGGGGGGT